GTGCTTGGAAGAAATTGAATAACAGTCATATTTTTATCACATTCCTTATCATCAACTTGAAATGTTTATTAACTTCATAAATTTAACCAAATTAACATTGTTTTATTTTATTTTATTTATTTTTTAAAATATATTTTATTGATTTTTTACAGAGAGGAAGGGAGAGGGATAGAGAGATAGAAACACCGATGAGAGAGAAACACCCTACTGGGGATGTGCCCGCAACCAAGGTACATGCCTTTGACCGGAATCGAACCTGGGACCCTTCAGTCTGCAAGCTGATGCTCTATCCACTGAGCCAAACCAGTTTCGGCTAAATTAATATTGTTTTAAATGAAAGCATAATTCATTTCTGCCCTTTTGGGAGATTAAAATAGTAACATCAATAGTTTTATCTCCTTAATTTGTAGAATAATATACCTGCAAAAATAGAATATAATAATTTATTTTTGTGTAGGTGCTCAAGTGCAAGTATGCATAATTGTATTTTACAATGTATGTATTGCATTGTAATGCAGCATGGTTATTATAACATTAGTTGGGTTTGCACTTCCCCTTAAAGGTTATATTAATTTTTAACTTAAGCCAGTTTTAAAGAAACCTCTCTATCCAGCCCAGAAACAGTGACTTGACTAAGGCTCTCCTTTTACCTTTTAGTTTTGCTGATCACCCAGATTATCCATTTTATGATGAATATTGACAACTGTGTCAGAGGGTGCTCCGGCTTTTTATTTTGGTTGCTGATTGGAGAACATCAAGGACAAGAAGACATCTGGTTCATTTTGTGCCCCTCAGCTCAACCAGTCACAATGTGGCTTGAGTCCCTGGACCAGAAAAGAAAAATCTTTAAACTGGACCTTTCCCTCATGGAGTAAATAATGATACAGTTTGAATAACCTAAGCTACCACTGCTTTGGTTATTTTGTTTGTTTTGTGTTGTGTTTCCCTGTGTCACTGAGGTTGAAATGCTGACATCCCAGGAAGTATGAACTCTCAAAACACACACACACACACACACACACACACACACACACACACACACACAGAAAACTAACCATTTACTATACTTGTAAATGTTCAAAGTCCACTTTTTTTTTTTACTTCTCTGTAATTCTTGTCTTATTTTCTCTTTTGTTCTATGAGTTTGCCGTACCATACAGCTTTATAAGACATTTTAAGGAGATCTTAAGCTTAATACAAATCCGTGAAAGGTCCAGATTTCAATTAAAAATTACTCACAATACCAAGAACAAGGGAGATACCAAATTGAATGAAAGATAAGCATCAGATTCATGCACCAAGATGACTCAGATATTAGAATAACCTGACCAAGGTTCCGAAGCAGCCATCATACAACTGTTTCATCAAGCAATTACAAATAAAGTTGGGACAAATGAAAAAAGAGAAAATTTCAAAGCAATTAGTCTTTGATGCCACCTGGTGGCCAATGTACCCAACAGCTCTGATGCTGGCTAAGAAATAAATTGTAAATGCGAAGACAGGTGATGCATGCATTATTCAGGATTCCATATTTGAGTATTTGCTTACAGGCTAAAATTTATTTGTAATACTGAAATCAACATTCGTGGGGCTTCCCTGATCATTTTCAGACATGCATAGTGCAACAAAAATTGGGGCCCCCTGAGCTGATTCGCACTGGGCTGCCTGGCGGCACTTCTGTGCCTCTTCAGCTCTCACTGTGTCCCTCACAGCATCTGTTTAGTGCCAAGTGATCCTCATTTGCATGATTCTTGTTGGTGATTTTACTATTTTAAGTGGTCCTAGTAGAAAAGCTCCTTAAAATTTTGTAAAACCTTTACTATAAAATATAGTTATTATAAAAGTGGTAGCTATTATTACAACTTGGTGCCCAGACACAGAATAGCATCTCCACACTTGTGTATGTCATCAGCATCCAAGCTTAAAGGATAAAGATGTACATTCTCTCTCCAGCTAGCAGGGTCTTTGAAAGGTGTCAATTATTTACGGCAATGAGACAGTGTAACACGTGGAGATCATTTGGATGATACTATGATAAGTTAAAATCATGTAGTTTAAAACATACAAAATTAAAGGCTCCATGATGTTTATTGAAGTTGCTTATCAAACTATCAAGGTAACAGTTGCATGAACGGTATGTCTAGTATGTGTTTGTCTTTTTAAAAGGAAAATTACAAATTGCATGTTCTTTGTGACTGGTTTGTGAGATATGTTTATGCACATTTATTACATATTTTATAAAACTGATCTATCTCTGTATGTCATAGACTTGAACAAAGATTAGAAGGATCAAATACAGAAATGGTTATTCTTAAATATTGGTATTTTAGGCCATTTGTATTTTCTTTCATTGAGCTTTTCTGATTTCTTTGCATTCTGGGTCAAGTAGAATGACTTAATGATTAATATCAGTATTAATAAAGCACTGTAAGATGGTCCGAAGGTTGTGGGTTATTGTTAAGCTGATGAATAAAGCACTATATTAGGCAATTGTGCAGAACTTTTCTTATACTTAACATAAAGAAGAAACATCTGTCAATCACTTCATGAAAATGAGCCTTTTTAATATAAGATAATAAAGTATTTTATAGCAGCTTAAAAATGCCCCCAAAGTAGTACTGAAGTGCTGCCTATTGTTCCTAAGAGCAAGGAGGCTGTGCAGTGTTTTATGGAAAAAATAAATGTTAGATAAGCTCTGTCCAGGTGTGAATCGCAGTGCTGTTGGCTGAGTTCAGTGCTAATGACCCAATAAGGTGCCTTTAGACAGAAGCACACATGGAACAGGTGATGTATGATTGGATGAGGAAAATGTTGTGACCAGAGGCTCAAAGCAGTAGTTCAGAGCCTGCGAGTTCTGTGTTTGCGGTGATTTTGTAAAACACAACCACTGTGAGTGTTACTGGTGAGACAACAAAACTTGTCTTCTTGAAGGAGCTATTTCAATAAAGAGACAACGTGTAGCAAAGTATGTAAGAATTTACTGGCTGCAGCAAAAATATACATAGGACAATGAAACACAGAAGGGCAAACAGGAGAGCCTAGGCTTGGCTGCTTTGGCTCACCGGGAAGTCAGAGAAAAGGGGGTCTGGGAGACAGGTTCAGGAAGTTAGCCCAGGAGGAGATGCCCCTGCCCATTGCTCCCCTGGGTGACAAGTCTCCTGGGGTCCCTTAGAGGAAAGAAGTGGAAAGGAAATGGTATCCGCATGCTCGCCTGGGGAAGAGCTCCTCCTGGGTCCTTTGTGTTGAGCATATTTCTCTCTCTCTTGCAAGTGGAAATCTTAGGGCAGGTTTCAGGGGGACGTCTCAATAGAATATGCATCAGCTTTCCAAGTGTGCTCTTTCAGGGTCATGGTCTCCACTCATTGGTCAGCACCAAGGCGGGGATCATTAGTCAATACAGCTGGTCCTCAGTCAGCCACAGCCACAGTGTCACTGTCTGGTTTTGTTGCTTTTCTGGGCTGGGAGCTGAAATACAACTGAGGCCTAGATGTTATCTTTAGGGAGGGAAAGGCCAGGGCTTCCAAACTGTATGACCAGCAATATGCTAGGGGAGGAAAAGTTACCCTGGGGACAAGGTCCTTGTTTTTCTGGTATTGCCCCTTGCTAGGGATCCGGGGCTTTCTGCCCTGGTGAGTTTCTGTACCTGGCCCATAGTCCTCACTCTGCTCATGTCTGTCTAACTGCTTATACCACGGGTAATGAGAACCTGCTGTGCCTGAGGATGGGCTGAGACACGGGTTCTGTCTCTCAGGAACAAAGACCCAGACTCACAGCAGAGCCACCCTCGCCTCTGCAGCCACACACTTCAGGACCCAAAGAAGGGAAGACCATAGACTTTGTCCTTGACACTGCAGTAGAGAAAGCTTGTTTTCCTATCACTGATGTTTTTTATGTTCTCTGGGTGTCATGCATCAACTGGAAACCAAACAGAGACTCCTAGACTGTGTCTATGCCCCCACCCAGTAAAAGGAGAGGGGTCTGGGTGGGTCCCCTTTTCCCGTGAGCCCAACAGGAGAACCCAAGGCCCCAAACAGACAAGCAGAGTGAAAGCACAGGTAGGATGTGCGGGTCACACCTTCAGGGCTTGAGGACACCCATGGCTTGGTTGGATCAGATAGGCCAAGGCCAGTGTCTGCTGCTTATGCCACAGATCACACGGGAAGAGCCAGGGGACTGCAACTTTGCACATTAGAGTCTGGGGCACATGCCGCCCGTCCCTGCTCCTGGCACTCGTGACCACCCTCTGCCTGTGGTAGGAAGTGTGTCTCCACCCCACTGGGTGCATCACACCCAGGCCATGTGGGTGGGAGATCCCTGGGACTTGGGCCCTGGACCCTCTCTGGCTAGTTGGCCTCGGGAGCAGATACGGACAAGCTCCTCTCTTGCTCCTGCCAGAGGCTGGGGGTTCAGGGCCACATGTCAGCTCCCTGACTAAGCACTGAGGCTTGAACATCAAGGGAGTATGGGTGGTGCACTGAGAGCACTCAAAACAGCAGGAAGGAGGGCCTCACAAATGAGGAAGACCCCATGAGAAACGGGCAGAAAACATGTCAAGTGTGTGACTGGTTGGCCTCCAAACAGACAGCTTCACCAGTGGGCGAGGAAGCCCGGCACTGGGCGTGGATGGTAGCCTGAGGTGAGGGTGTCTGGGGTAACAACCAGGAGTAATTAACTCCTGAGGAGGCACAGTCTTTGGGGAAGGTGGAAATGCCTAGTGCATCAAGTAAGTTCCATCCTTGGAGATGTGTGTGGGAGCGGGGCTCGGAGCTGGACAGGGTGTGTGGTGGAGATGCATCCAGAAGCCCTGGTAGCAAGTCCCAGGAGGAGGGAGCTCCTGGGCCAAACTGGAAGGAACCTGCAGGGGGCAGGAGTCACACACTGCCCTGCGTGGATACCCACCCTGTTTTTTCCTAAGGGGTAGTACTCCTGCCCCAGATCCACTCCACTGTCTTAGACTGAACATTGAGGCCATGAGGGGAAATGACCACATCCATCTCTGGTTTGTTTTCACAGGTTTATTTATGCCTGATCAAATCTGATTTCCCAGAAAACTTTCTCAAACATTAGTGTTTTAAAACTAAAATTTAGATTGTAAGTAAGAAAAAAAAGGCCTTCGTTGAACTAAGACAGCTCATCATTTTCACCCAGTCCTCCTGTCCTCCTTTCCAGATGTGAAGGTAAGGGTTTTGCTATAAAATCATCTGGGGGGGGGGGGGGGCGCTGGTGGGTGGCAGAGAGGAGGGGCTCATTGAAGCTGAGTCACAGCTGTAGAGGTTCTTCATGCTGGTCTCCCAGTACTCCGTGGGCAGCACACTCTCAGATGCTTCCTCCTTCATTCTCACCGAGTCTGATGATTTCTTAGGGAGCTTAGCCTCTGTCCCTCCCATCCCTGGCCAGGCTGTCTGTGCCTTTGAGGCAGAGCCCTGTGCTGCTGGGCGGGAGCCCTTCAACCCTAGATTTGTTGGGCGGGAGGGAGGGGAGCAGGAGCAGGCTCAGTACTCTATGTGGAAAGGATAGTCCTTGTGGCTTACAGCTCTGGAAACCGGGGAACAAGTCAAAGACAAAAACAAAGAGGGATTACAATTTTTAAGAGAAACATTTTTAAATGACACAATTCTATATTTTTATACTCTCTAGTGTCTAAAATTCATCTTTGGGTTCCCTCACCGGCCCATTCCCAAATAGGAAAGAATTCTGAGATCATTTAATAACCTAAAACATACAATAAATATCCATCCAGGAACCAAAAGCTCAATCTGAATATCGAGTCCCCTATTTCCAGTGTAGTGAAGGAGCTGTTCTTACGTGGAGAATTTGGTCAGTCGGAGGTTCTTGTCCAAGCTCAAAAGGGCGTCCATATCCTCTTCTGGTAACTCAAAATCAAACACCTGGAACCAAAATAAAATGTTCATGGGAAAGTCAGTTCAGTGAACACCTAAATGAGCACGTATCACCTGCTGAGCACTGTGCTGGGCCTCTGGGGGACACTAGGATGTGAAAGAAACACTTCATGTGGCACCTGGCATATTCCCTGGCCCTCAGCCTCAGTTCCCAGGATGCACTGAGACTTGGGCCATTTAAGCTGCAGCAAGGACCCTTGGAAAGATGAGATCTGTGCTGGGCTCGTCCCACAGAAGTGAGGAGCACACCAGGACAGTCAAAGGGTGCAGTGAAGGATTTTTCCCAGTGCTCATAAAACACACAAAAACAAAACACCACAAATCCAAAACACAAACATGTGTTCCACAGGCCCCAGCAGTGAGGGGAGTCTGGGCCACAGAGCATTAACTCTAATAACAGTCGTAACAGGTAGGGAGGCTCTAGGCCTAGGGTGAAGCCTCGGGCTGACCTGTGGCAGGGCCACAAACAAGTCCCAGCCGGAGGGCAGAGCTGGCCTCGCATTGTTAAACCTGACCTGGTAGCTCTCCCTAGTTCCTTCCTAGGAAGCTAATGGGCTGTGGGAGGTTCAGCAAGTGTTGCCAAAACAAGAACGTTTGTATACATGTTAATCTTGTTATAATCAGACTATAAAATAAACTCTTATGGTTCTGGGTCGCTGCCTCTCCATCAGAGGACAGCTGTCCCACCTGGCCCCAGCCTTTTCCTTCTACCTCTGTGTCTGTCTCTTTTTCATTTTCTCAATCCCCAGAAGCCCCTACTCAGGAACAGGACTGCTCTCTCTAGCCGCGCTGGACGCGGAAAAAAGAGAAATATTTATAGTAACACCGTGTACTTTTGAGTACAGACTTTCTGTTCCTTCTAAAATGTATTCTAAGCTGTCCCCTTACTTGGCCCCTAACAGGCCTGAGGACTGTGACCTGCTCCTGCAACCACAGCTTTTCACATGGGAGAGCCAGCCCTGAGCCTCCGCTAAGGACCAGAAAAGAGTCCATCTTCACTCAGGAGGCGACAGGCCCCGACCAATTCCTGCCCACCGGAGATCCTCCACGGTTGCCTAGCAGAAACCATGGGCTCCCTGTTAGCAGTTCTGCCTGGCAGGGGAGCTGGCCCTGGGCAATGTGGGTTAAGGGAAGAAACGAACAGTCTGGAAGGGTCCTTCTCATCAGGATGGGCAGCCATGGGCCAGCACTAGTGAGTGGTGCTGGGCACAGAGCAGGCGCTGGATGGTAGGTGGCCTGGCTGGCGCCCTGGTCCCTCACCATCAGTCCTTCCCCATTTAATCTTGTCTACATCCCCCAGATGGGTGTCTGCCAGGGGAAGCTCTGTATCCACTGGGCGTGGCCTATGCTTCCCCGCCCCTCTGCTGTGTCAGAGCCTCACAGGTTGGCCTGCTTGCTGCAGTGTGTAGCTGCCTAGCTCATACAGTTCCCCAAACCCACTGATGTCAAAGAAGGAGAACACCTCCCTGGATATTCTCAAGAATCCGCTTCGGGTTGACAGATTTGGGGATGGCGATCACATTCCTCTGGATCTGAAACCGGATCAAAATCTGCTGGGGAAAACGCATAGTATGAGACGAAGGGAATTGAGCAGAGTCAGAAGCCAACTGCTTCCCTTCTGAGTCATGTTTCACTGCAGGGAAGCCCAGTGACCCGGGCAGTAGGCACTATCGTGGCATTTCTGCACTGTCCCATAGAATGTCTGGAGGGATGGCCGCTGGCCCCAGGAGCTGAGGACATGCCAGTGCCATAACAGAGTTCGCTATCATGTCCAGTCCCATGAACCGCTGGACATTAGAACAAGGAAGAGAGTCATAAACTCCTTTGGGGTCCACTCAACTGGTGGGCCGCGGGAGGAAGCCTGGGACCATGGCATGTAGAGAATTGATCTTGGGGCCTGAATGAATGGAACCACAGCATCCTTAAGGGGCTGATGAACACTGAACAGTTCTCTTAGTCACCTGCTGGGCCACAGCGAGGCATCCGCCCATGCCCATGCATGGCTCCTGCAGTGAGCAGAAAGAAGCCCGCCCAGCCCAGAAGGTATCCACTTACCTGAGCTGCGGTCTTCTGGTGCTTCTGTGCAATGGACTGGATTACGGGGTTGTCCATCAGGTCCACACCTCCACTAAGGAGAACATTTGCAGGGGTTGCACGACCAAATCTGTGCACCTCCTTCTTTGAAAACAAGACTTTCTCCAAAATGGAAACTCTAGATCTACTTTTGTCTGATCATGATACATGCTCAGTGTGGGAAATTTAAACGGTGCAGAAACGCTTGTCACCAAGTCCACCGTCTAGTGATAGCCACGGCTGACTTTTGGGAGGATGCAGCTGGACACTTGGCCTTCACATCTTGTCAGTGCTTTGTCTGAAGACCCGGGTAGCAACATCAGAGTGTCTGAAGCACAGGCTCTCCGCAGTGCTGTGCCCCTGGGACTTCTGACCTCTTCGGTAGGACTTAGAGTATTGTCTACAGCACCATCAGCATGAACTGATAATGGATAGCATCTCGGAAAAGTTCACCTCTAACCCCAAGAGAAAGCTGAAACAGTGGGCCTGTGCAGCCTTTATGCTAGGGGTGTCGAACTCAATCAGAGAAGGGGCCAAAATCTAAAATCCAGCCTAAATCGCGGGCCAAATGGTTTACTGAACAGTCATAAACTGTCATTGTGATGGAAACGCAGCGGAGTGCAGTGATGACAGCGCGGTGCGGGCCACATTGCAAGGCCTGGCGGGACGGATTTGGCCCTCGGGCCTTGTGTTTGACACATGTGCTTTATGCAGAGACTGTGAAGACTGACCCTGGGTCTGACCTTCCATGATGTCAAGCGGCCCTCGGCCCTTGGAGAGCTATTGTTCTTAGTGAACGTTTTTAAAGTAGTTACTGTGTTTCAAGCAGTTACTGAGATGAAAACCATCCTCAGTGTCTATGAAGGGACCAAACAGAATCCACCCCTCTTGGCTGTGGGACATTGGTCACCTCCCTTCTCTCACGTGGCTCCCACCACCCACTCTCTCACTGGCTTCCTCCACCCCAAGCTCATCTGTGAATACAACCCAGACACTAGGAATTCCCTCACTCTACCAACTTCACGCACATCTGCACCACTTCATCTGGGAAACACACAGGCAATAACAGTCCAATAATCTCAGCCTTTCCTGGACCACTAATACTGAGCTAGGGGCTAGTATGAGAGTTATTACTTAGATGCAGTCCCCACAACTCAAATAGTTCTTACAAGTAGAAGAAAATGAGAAGAAAATAATGACAAGATAGTGTGATAAGGGCTGTGGATGCAACACAAATAAGGGCAACACAAATAAGGAGAAATCGGGAGGGCTCCCTGAAGGAGGTGGTGTTGAACTGAGCCTTATATTAGAAATTGGAGTAAGCCAGGTTAAGAAAAAAAAGATAAGAAGATTTTCAGGTAAAGAGAACTGTATTTGCAAAAGCACAGAGACTAGAAAGCAGAAGCTCCAAATAGTTTCAGATGGTTGGCTCATAGCATGGTGCAGGAATAGGTAGAAATAGGCAGGAGCCAGACCAGGAATTGAAGAATATGTAAGCAGGAGAATGACACAGTCACAATGAGATGGCTCCCTTCAGCTGTTGTATGGATAGTGGATGAGAACCAGGCAGACCTGGGAGGTGTTAACAGGCTGCTGTAATCACGGGAGAGAATTCATACTTCATGACAGCATTATGTGTGAACAGAAATCAAGAGATAGAATCCAAGTTTCCTGGCAAAATAACAAGTGCACCTTGCTGTCAAGTTGGATTGGGGGTATGAGGAGAGATCAAAAAGGGAATACATTTCTGGCCCACGTGGCCAGTGGGTGGTGGCTCATCCGCTGATGTAGGGGGCACAGCATACAGTTCGGGTTCTGGGAAGATGATTCCGTAGAGATCAGGATGTCTGTGACCTGTCCCTAGAGAGGTCTGGCACAGCACGGGAGGTACCAGGAAAGAGCTCAGCAGAGAGGTTGCTTCCTGCTGGTTATGGCCCTTAAACATCACTGCCCTTCAGGAGGCAGCCACTGAAGATGACTACTGTCCTATGTGAACCAGCTCCTCTCTCAGTCCTACCTGCTGAAGGCCCGTGGTGTCCACAGCCTGCCTAAACCTTCCTTAAACCTTACCCTGTAAATGAAACTGAGGCATGCATCCATTTCCGGCCACAAACTCCTACCTGGAACCCCCGAGGGGCTGGTAAGCAGTCACGGACACATCTCTGGACTGGCAGAAGCTGATCAGTTTCTTCTGAGCAAGATATGGGTGGCACTCAACCTACAAAGAGAATCACAGCTGACCAGAGACCATTGTGACTAACAGGGCACTATAAAAGAGGATCCACATCAATGCCCTGGCTCCATCACTGATGAGCTACATGGCCCACCTCCAGGCTCGCGTGGCCATGCCTGGAAAGTACCAGGCTGAGCTGAGGGGTCTCCGAGAGGCTATCTACTGTAAGCAAGCCCAAGAACACCTTTCCCATCTGAATGCTCAAGAATCCCTACTCAGCAAGGCTCTCACTGACTGCTTGAGGTAATAGTGCAGCCTCCTACCTCCTCCTTGCCTTTACCTTGCACTGTAGCATGGATCATTAGCTGACATTTTATGTGCTGTCATTCTTTGCAACTGTCTATTATTGCCTCTAGGGCATAAGCTCCATGAAGGCAGGGTTCTGAGTCTGATTTTCTTTTGTTCAAGACATGCCCCTGATCTCTGGAATAAGCTAGGCATAGAACAAAGCTCAGAAAGTGTTGAGTAAATGAAGGAAGCTGGGGGGTTATGTGTGACAAACACGTGCTACAGTTGATTCCAAGGGATGGTGTAAGAAAATCAGGAGCAGATTCCTGTCTCCTCCTCACTCTACATATTCATGTATGATTCCAAGTTCTGTGTGAACTCAAAGTTAAGTACTACACTGGTAAAAAGCTGATCAGATTCACTGGCAGAAGTGAATTCAGAACCAGGGACAGTGCCCTCGCTGGTTCCCCGCTGAGCTGTCAGGACCCACAGGCAGAGCTGACAGGGACCCCTAAGATAAGCCACTGGCTCTCTGAGAACTCCTCTGAGGGTGCATTCCCAAAGGGTTCCCCCATAGTATTTAGGAAACAGACCCTGCAGCCCCTCCTCACCCCACAGACCAGGCCACACCTCTCCCCATGATTTAAAGTGCCACTCAACAAAAGTCTGCACAGAACTGAATGTGAGGTTTTAAAGCAGGGGAGCTCAGCAAGGCTGCAGGTCGGGACACCGGCCACTCCTCATGGGAGGTGACCAGAAGAGCTTCCAGAAGGCTGAGGACTTCCAGCTCTTGCCCTGGGTACTGAAGACTTGAGTCTGGTCCCTTGTGAAAATTCACTGAGCGGTGTCCTTTAAGATCCGTGCACTCTTCTGTACTTGTGTTATACCTCCACTGAAAAAGTTTATTTATAAAAAGAATAGAATAGAGCATACTGTTCTATTATTAATACCCCTACACTGGAAACTACCCATGTACCCATTGCCAACTGAGAGGATAGTCACGGGATGGAATACCACAGGGAAACAAGGATGGGCAAATCACACCTGGATACAGGAGGACCTGACATACAATGCTGAGTAAGGAAAGCCCATCGCGCATCACATCCTGTCTAATAAAAGAGTAACATGCAGACTGACCATCACACCAAGACACAAGATGGCTGCCCCCACGTGGACACAAGATGGCCACCACAAGATGGCTTGCAGGGGAAGACAATTGTGGGCAGTTAGGGGTGACCAGGCCAACAGAGGAGGGCAGTTGGGGGAGACCAGGCCAGCAAGGGAGGGCAGTTGGGGGGGGGGACCCAGGCTTGCAGGGGAGAGCAGTAGTGGGTGATCAGGCAAGCAGGAGGGCAGTTAGGGGTGACTGGGCAAGCAGAGGAGACCAGGTCAGCAGAGGAGGGCAATTGGGAGGGGGGGGGGCAGGCCTGTTGGGGGAGACCAGGTCAGCAGAGGAGAGAAATTGGGGGGGGGGGGGGCAGGCCTGTAGGGGAGAGCAGTTGGGGGGGGACCCAGACCTGCAGGAGAGGGCAGTTGGGGGTGAGACTAGGCCTGCAGTGGAGGGCAATTGGGGGATGGGTACTAAGTCTGTAGTGGAGGTCAATTGGCAGGGGGACCAGGCCTGCAGGGGAGGGCAGTTGGAGAGGAGACCAAGGCCTATGGGGGGGGGGGGGGAATTGGCCTGCAGGGGAGGGCAGATGGGGGGTGCATGCCTACAGGGGAGGGCAGTTGGGAGGAACCAGGCCTGCAGGGGAGGGCAGTTGGGGGCAATCAGGCTAGTAGGGAGAGCAGTTAGGGGTGACTGGGCCAGTAGAGGAGGGCAGTTGGGAGCTAGCAGTCCTGGATTGTGAGAGAAATGTCCAACTGCCTGTTTAGGCCCAATCCCAGTAGTATTGGGCCTAAATGAGTGGTCTGACATCCTTGAAGGGGTCCCAGATTTGAGAGGGTGCAGACTGTGCTGAAGGACACCCCCACCCCCATGCACGAATTTTGTGCACCAGGCCTCTAGTTCTCTATGTAAAGCCCAAAGGCCAATCTGTGCTGTCAGAACTTGGAACAGTAGCTGCCCTTGGCAAGCAGTGGGGACGAGAAAGCAGCAGGGTAAGGGCTCTTAGTTGTTTCTTCCTCTGGGTCAGGGTTGGGAACCTTTGTTCTGCCAAGGGCCACTTGGATATTTATTCGACGGCCATACAAAATGATCTACTTAAAAATTAACCTGCTGAATTTAGTCAAACATTTAATTAACTCACCCCTCATGCCTTGGCAGGGCCAGACCAAATGATTCCACTGGTCTTATATGGCCCGCGGACCAGAAGTCCCCCACCCCTGCTCTGGGGGCTGGTGGAGAGTGAGGCCCAGTTCTGAGAACTTATCAAGCTCCATTCTTATGTGTGCACTTTTTTGCATGTATGGTACACAACATGTTAATACAAGTTTAAGTAAAATAAGGGCCCCTTTTTACATAGGAAGGCAGCTAGTCTAGAAAATACTGTAACCCTTTCCTCACAAGTCATTTCTCATCATTAAAGTCTCATAGAGGCTGTGATCTTGCAGAGGGAGGGTCCCTGGTGAGGCCCCAGGAAGCCAGTACCACCTCTGACCATCATTAATGAGGCATCAGGACTGACTGTACCCTTTGCCACTTCTGAGCATACCTGGTGACCACTCCATAGCTGAAGTGAAAACCCTGCCTTCCAAGGACTCCACCTCACCTGATGAGCCTTTTAAAAGGGTCTTGCCTATACACCTGCCATTTGCCCAACTGTTCCATGGTCATGCCTTTCTTCATTGTTGTTAATCCTCACTGGAGGATAGTTTTCCATTGATTTTTAGAGAGAGTGCAAGGGAGAGGGAGAGACATCAATGTGAGAAAGACACATTGATTGGTTGCCTCCTGCACGCACCTTGACCAGGACCAGAAACCTGCAACCAAGGTATATGTCCTTGACTGGAATCAAACCCGAGATCCTGCTTTATCCACTGAGGCAAAATGACTAGCACCATAGTCATGACTTTTGACAGCCTCAGGAGAAAATGCCTACTTCATGTTCCAGTGTAACCATGCGGAGGCAACAGATGAAAAGCTGACTCCATTCTTTCAAGCAGCTTAGCCATCCACACTCACCTGGTTAGTCAATGGCTTGAATCTCAAGTTGGGCTTATTCAGAAGCCTCTCCAGCTGCTCGTGGTTGAAGTTGGACACCCCAATGGCTTTCACCAGCCCTGCAACCACCAGGTCCTCCATGGCCTGGAGAGAACAATGTAATTGTTTTGGATGCATGGGCTCTGTCTACTCCACTAATAATCTGAGATCCCCAATCCTTCACACAGTATCCTAAAACTGGCTCTGCCAAAAATCTTAAAATGTCTTCAAATATTTGACTTCATGTGTTATAAGCATTTCTGTACTTGAAGTTTCCCCCCATTTCATCATTATATGTCCTCACTAAGCCTCAATTTTCTCATCTGCCAAGTGGGTTACAACCTTACCATGAAACAGGGCTAAGGATTACATCAAATAAGGAACACAGGACATTTAGTTCACACTCAGCACATGTACCTGTTATTTCTGTTACTCTGAATGTCTGTTGATAGGATATCAACAAGGATGTCCACTGCGGACTGTATCTGCTCATCCAGTTTCTACCCAAATGACCATCTTCCTCGGCATGATTATGCACCATCGTTCTAACTCACCACCTTTTACCTTGTAAGGGGCTTGAGAGCAGAATCCCTACTCTGTGCTGTCCATTGGCCAGCAAGCCAGACTAGCTCTCAGATTCAGGAAAAGCATGGCCTGGTGCCAGGCTAAGAAGTCAGCATGAGTCCTGGTGGCCACAGGGCTGGTGGCCAATGTCAGGGTGCACTGCATGGTCACCCTGACCTCACTCATGCTACAAACAGCCTAGAGTTGCAGCCATGCCTTTCAGGAGAGGCAGTGTCTGTGACCCTGTGACCAAAGGGTTGCAGCTCCCCGGGCACTGTTCCCGACAGATCAGACACCTCAGTTAACCTCTGTGAAGTGAGGTCGATTCGCCCATTTCGAGAATAGCCTGACCTGGGAGCTCCTCCCTGACTGTGCTCCCCTCCTCCCTCTGCCTGGATGACCTCAGGCACTCCCACCCCTGAACCTATCCATCTCATACCAGTGGCTCCAGCGTCGCATCTCCCTAAACTCAGCAAGTTCCATTGTGAACCTGCTTTCTTCCCTTGCCTCACACTCACCCTTATGTTGACTTGCAAGATTATAGGCACCTGGTGAGCAGAGTCAGCAGGAACCTCCTCTCCTTCTGCCACACCGTCAATTCACTGCCACACCTCACACCTGCCACTTTCCCTGACTCCCAAGCTCAACATTCTACTTCAGGCCTCATCCCTTCCTGTGCAGACACTGGCAGCAGGTTAGAAATGTGGTCCCTTCCTCCATGCATCTCCAAGATACACCCCAATGTCACCATCTGTCCAAGTTTTCATTCTGAAATGCTTACAAAAGAGCTAAAGGAATTATAAAGTGGCCATGGAAAATGGACTCTTTATTTTCTTTTTATTCTCTTCTGTAGTTTCTGTAGTGAACATGTGATGTTTTTCAATACAAAAAATAAACATTTAAGAATAAAGGGAGGTCTGGGTCAGTTATCCTTAAAATACACGTTTCAGAGAGATGAACAAGAGGAAACTGGGCTCTGAGTCCCACAGACAGGCGTCCCTTCGTGCTGCACACCTGCCTTGTGAGGAGACCACCTGGTATCTCTGAACGCAAGGAGCTCAGGATCCCTGGCTTCCCATTTGAGGCCCATCAGTAGGAGGAAGATGCGGCTGGCCAGCTCAGCTTACCTCCCAGGTGTCCAGGTAATCAGTGTCACTGGGAATCGCCATGCCACTGCGGTCCAGGGGCAGCTCTTTCCCTCCGGGCTGTTAGAACAAGAAGACAGGAGCTTAGGGGGGCTTATTGGTAGTCACCCTCTAAACAGGAGACTGGATGGAGGGAGAATCAAGACATGGGGAAAGAATGCTAGGCCAGAAGATCTGGGTCTGAGCACAGTCCTCGCCAGGTGACTTCCCTTCTCCATGCCCTATCTCCACCTTTATAAGACAGGGGGTTGGGTGGCTCGGTGGCCAGCAAATTTCCCAACAGCCTGGATGTTCACTGCCCACCTCTCACATGTCAGGAAAGAAGGACCTAGGATCCTTGTCTGTTGTCAGAACATTGTTTAGCAATTTCAGGTAAAAAGGAGGGCAAGGGGTCTTGCCTTCTTATCCTAAGAGCTCAGTCAACTTTCTCCTAAGAAGAGCCACTCCAAGGCTCTTCTCTGCTTTTCTTAGAATTTATATCATGGTGAGAGATATTGAAGCCAGAATACAAGGGGCTTCAAAAATTCTCTTAAGCAATGGTGGGAACAATGTCTAAAATTGCAGCTTGATGCACATTTTTTAGGAATTTTCATGATGAAGCAACTAAATGTCTCATGTCAAAGCATCCTCCCATGTTGACGTATGTCCAGACCTCTATGTACAAGTGCTACCTGGCCTTGTCCTTGAGGGCTGCTGACCACCAGGAGCCAGTCAGGGATCTGCTAGAAGGTGAGGGTGAGGCACAGTAACCCATGTCTGCCTGAGCATCCGCTTCTGGGCCCCAATAAAGACACTAAGTCTTACTGTGCCTCAATGGTACCCTCTGTGCAATGGGGGTGTTAACAGTACCTGCCTCACATAATTGTTGTGAGGATTAATGAACAATGCCTGTCAGGTGCCTGAAAAAGTGTCTGGCTCAATGCTAAAAGAGCACGGACCGCTGACAGTACGTGTGACACAGCTACGGACATCACCTACCCATTGCTCTCTGGGTGCACAGGCAGATTTTACAGACAGAAATCATTTCTGAATCATCCTCTCTCATTTCACTTTCTGGGAATTTTCTGTTCTCCACTAGCGGCGTGACTAACGTGCAGTTGCTACGTCCTTTATTGAAATTAAATACAAAGCCTGAGAGTGAAGCTGTGCTAGGAATGAAGTGCTTTTTGTCCATTAACTTTAAAAGAAACCTGTCAGCTCGACACACACCATGAGCTCCTCCAACAAGGTGCACACGTGGGAGATTCCAGTGCAGCCACCATCCACCCCAGCGTAGGGAGAGCGTCCTCTCTCAGGAATCGCGGTGCCACCTGTGTGCCTGAGCCCTGGGTCAGCCAGGATGTCATCTAGGCCTGGGGCATTGCACAGGGACATCCTGGCCAGGACAAAACTGTGACTGAGGTTGGTAAAGCATCTGAGCAGGGTGTAAGGTGTGTCAGGGGAGGGGAGAGGGTATGAGCACTATCAAATAGAGAGAATAACACCAAATGGAGAAATAATCTCCCTCCAGAACCCTCTGGACCTGCTGCAAGTGGATAAGCAGGCGTCTCCCATATGGCAAAGCAGCCTTCACTCTCCAAAGAGCTCATAACCTGCACAAGGAGACGGGGCCAAGGAACTCCCTGGAACCCGGGAAATGACATGAGTGGCAGCTTTGGGTAGCAGTGTGTCCTCTGTCCGGACACCTGTTTTCCCCTAAAGACCTGTGGAAAAAGTGGACTGCTCTGTTGGCTTGGAGGAAGAAATGACTGGCTTAGAAGCAAAAACCATAATTGGTTAGAGGTCCTCGAGGCCAAGCCTCTCCTGAGTGGAGGCCCAGAGATAATGGAATGTGTGTGTGTGGCCGATGCAGCCCTGGACTCTCTGTGCCCTGGCTGCTGGCCCAGCTCTTTACACCACCCACTGGAGCATGACCAGGAAAGAAGCTGTCAGTGGGGGCTCTCACCAGGCCTGGGCAGTACCTTGAAACCCATGGGCCAGTGGATGAGGTAGAGGTCCAAGTACTCCAACTTCAAGGCCTTCAGAGTGTTGGAGCAGGCTGGTCTCACCAAGGACTTCTTATGGCTGGTACACCAGAGCTATAAGGGAGAGGAGAACCATGACAATCGGCCACAGAGCCACTGTTGACACATCTGGGTCCACAAATCATGACAATCGGCCACAGAGCCACTGTTGACCCCTGGGCCCCACAAACCCAGGATCTGGAAGACAAACAGCATCTAAGATCAAGTGGTCATAAATACAGAATGTGACATTATTCTCCAATGGTCCAGGGCGTCCACAGGGAGGGAAAACTCAGCTCCTCCTACCTGATTTCTCCTCAGGAAAAGTGGGGGGAGAGGGAGGAACACTGTGAAATTATTTGGTGGGAGAGCTGTCTGGTTATTTGGATTCACTGCTGATACTATATACATATATATATAGTAATTGGAGGATCAGGAGATATATATTGTATATATCTCCATCCATCCCCATGGGCAGAGAAGATATGAGAAAAAATCAGAAGAATTTATATATTGAGTTTCCCACTTGAACAGACTCTATGTTAAAGGTTTTCTGTTATAAGGGTCTCATTATCCTGCAGATTACACTAGGTAAGTAAGTTAACACACACGACCTTATACTTAGCATGTCCATCTACACCCTTTGTGAAGTAAAAAGTTTGTAATTTGTTTTCTCCTTATTGTTTCCTTTAGTATACTATTTAGGCACCATTGCAGCAAGAGCAAAACAAAACAACAACAAAAAGAGATAAATAAAAGAAAGAGGATAAAATATATGAAACCAAATTACAGGTACAGTATGTTTACAAAAAAGAAACTAGAATACATCATATTGTTAACAACAGCACTTTCTAGATGGTGAGTGTATCAGTGATTTAAAAAAAAGTGTATTTCCAAGATTTTTCTAAATTTCAGGAATAATGAGCACACATCCTCTGCTGGCTATGATCCATCCGGGAGCAAATGTCCTCTCTGCTGGCTAGCCACAGGAACCCTAGGTACACACCTCCCTAATTGGAGGATCAGGAGAGATTTGGATTCCTTGGCTAGGGTCACCTGGGCCTTGAGTTACAGCATTATATCCAGGTAACACAGAAAAGCACCAAAGCTTGTAATTACAGAAATTCATTTATTTTTCAAATATATTTTATTTATTTTTTACAGAGACAAAGGGAGAGGGATATAGAGTTAGAAACATTGATTAGCTGCCTCCTGCACACCCCCTCCTGGAGATGTGCCCACAACCAAGGTACATGCCCTTGACCGGAATCGAACCTGGGACCCTTCGGTCCACAGGCCGACGCTCTCTCCACTGAGCCAAACCAGTGAGGGCGCAATTACGGAAAATTTAGATGTGGCAATCACCCGGGAGATTGTGAAACCCACTGTCTCCTCGTCCACGAGGGAGCCGGTTCCTGAGCCAGGCTCGGGAAGGACAGCCACCATGTGAACTCACTGCTCCTGGCCTGATGGTCTTAATATTCTTCTTCAAAGTCAAAAGCAAAGGGATTCTTTAATTTTCCACTCTCGGTCTGTCACCAGCATTTTCTTTTCTTTTCTTTTCTTTTTTTTAATATATTTTATTGATTTTTTTTACAGAGAGGAAAGGAGAGGGATAGAGAGTTAGAAACATCAATGAGAGACACATCAATCAGCTGCCTCCTGCACACCCCTTACTGGGGATGTGCCCGCAACCAAGGTACATGCCTTTGACAGGAATTGAACCTGAGATCTTTCAGTCCACAGGCCAATGCTCTATCCACTGAGCCAAACTGGTTTCGGCTGTCACCAGCATTTCTTACAGGGCTCACCTCCCGATGGTCTTTCCCAGCCATGTCCTTGCTATTTTGTCTAGTGCTGTCACCTCTCCCACCAACACTGCCGTTAAGGTCTCCTGCCTTCTGCCTCCTGTTTAAAGGCACTCTGCTTTCACCTTCACAGTCTCCTCTATTCAGAATAACTCTTGCTCAACAGAAGGTAAAACCTTCAGCAGTGCTCCTTTGTCTGTGAGAAGAGAACTCCTGAAATGGTGATCAGGTCTTCTGTAATCAGGTTCGTTCACGGCTCCAGCCTCACCGCTGCTTCTATTCGCCCCCAACACTGCTCAGTCCAAGAACAACAAGCTTCTCAAAGGTCTCAATGCTCACACCCCCACCCTACCAGCACCACACTGCCTCCTGCCTTTGCTCTAATTATCCCTTCTGCCTGTCACACTGTCCCCGGCCCCTTCACCTGCACCACTCCCAGCACGTGCACAAAGCTGCAGAAGCCCTTGTCAGGTCTGGTCCCAGTATGAATGAAGTCAGCAGCTCTATGGGAGCCTGGAAAACCATTCCTGTGCTATGTCAACATCCAAGCCCCAAGCAGCCTGCACCTGCTCTCCCTGCGGGCACAGTCCTACCTTACTGACGATGAACAGGTCCTCCCGCCGAACCACGCCCTCCTGGATCTTGCTCTGGATCCCGGCTCCGACCTCACTCTCATTGTGGTACAGGTAGGCGCAGTCAAAGTGCCGATATCCCACATCGATTGCCACCTTCACCGCCTCAGTCACTTCCCCGGGCGCTGCCTGCAGAATGAAGAAGACCCAAGGAATTGCCCGGCTGACCACCTGCAAGCAGTGATAAACTAGGTGCTTGTAAGCCACCCAGCTTTTGTGGTTGGTTGTTATGCAGCACTTCTTGAGCAATAGATTTCAACAGCTTATTTGTAATCTTAGAAGATTAAAAATACATAAAATGAAGCCTTGGAGGTGATTAGGATTAATCCAATTCTATTCCACTCAAGTCCAACAGCTTTCACAGCATTTCCTTACCCTGTGTGTGAGAACTTATTGACTCCTGCACCCAGCTGTGTGCAGAAGACATAGTGCATACAAGAATTAAAGTCAAGCTGAAACCAGTTTGGCTCAGTGGATAGAGCGTAGGTCTGTGGATTGAAAGGTCCCAGGTTCGATTCCAGTCAGGGGCATGTACCTTGGTTGCAGGCACATCCCCAGTAGGAGGTGTGCAGGAGGCAGCTGATCAATGTTTCTAGCTCTCTATCCCTCTCCCTTCCTCTCTGTAAAAAATCAATAAAATATATATATATTTTTAAAAAAGAATTAAAGTCAAGACAATTAAATCCATAAAGTGCTTTTTGAACGGCTGCCAAATGCATGGCCTTGGCTAGATGCTGAGAACCACCAGTGAAACCACACCCTTGGCCTCTAAGAGTGGTTAAGGGGATAGAAGAAATAATTTAAATAATACTTAGATGAGTGGGGGGTTGATCATTCTAATTCCTATTCTAATCATTTCCTAGGTGACTTCTTAAAGGAATATTTTTTTAAAAAATCAAAGACTGCATTAAAAAAAGAAGAAAAGCACATTTGAAAATTAGTTAGTGCCAAGCCTCAAAGCACTGGCAGTTCAGAAAGCCAAAGGAGAGAAAGTTCCCAAGTTCAAGGTGCTCCACTATCAGGTTTTACACAGGGGACAGGAAATTACAAAGTTCCTGTTTAAAGCCAAGGTGGCAATGCCAAGATTCCTTTATCTTTTTTATACCACTTTCCAGTAACAGTTGCCTCTGATCTAGTCAGGTGACTGCGACTCTTTCTGTCTATACCCAAACCTGACAATCTTTTCTTCTGGGCTTTCCCAAAAGTTATTTCTGAATAATTATGATTTGGCTGCAATATGCAATAGCAGAGAGACAACCCCCATTTCCAGATCATCTGGGGATCTACAAATTCCATCTTTCCAACACAGGAAGCCTCCCCGGGAGTTACAGGTGACTAGCTGGGGACTGGGGGCTGCAGGTGTCCCCGCGGGTTTCTGCGGGGCGTCCAGGCAGGGGTCCCCCAGGTTGTCCCTGCGGGTGTCCCCTCCACATCAGGGCGAACCTCGGTAAGGAAAGGCGCCGCCTCTCCTGGACCCCAAGGCCGCCTCACCTTCCAGGTGCCCAGGCCCAGAAGAGGAATCTTCTCCATCCTTCGGAGCGGCTTCTGCGGCTGCCAGGCTGCTCTGCAGGTGAGCCACCGCGGCGGGCTCCAGATTAGCTGGCAGCTCCGGGGTGGCCGGCGAGTAGACATCTCAACGGCGGGGGCGGCGCCTGCGGCGGGGGCCCCGATTGGTCGGGGGCTCTGAGGTGTCCAGGTAGCGGACCGCGCCCCCGGGCCAGGGGACACGCCCACATGTCCCGGGAAAGTTAGACGTTAGGAAGCTGGGTGCGCGAGCTCGCGCTGTGCATTGAGGTCCTGGCAGGTCCTCAGTCCTCAAGCCAGGCAGATGGGCAGGGGTCCCCAGGGTCCCAGGGTCGGCAGAGCCACCCCCAGGGCAATCCCTAGAGGACCCCGTCTAGGGCGCTCTGTGCACCGCTCTGGGCACCTGGGACTAGGTTAGGTCCGGGGCCTCCAGGATAAGATTCCTCTTCTACCCCTGGATGTGCTTAGGGCAGGGATCCTGAGGATTCCACTGGTCCCTAGGAGTGTGTAGAGCTTTGTTTCTCGATGACCTTTTGCACTGAGGCCGGTAATGCTTTCTACACCCTAAGCTGCATGGGAGAGGGCGGCCTGGAGGCCGGGGCAGGGCACTGGGCCGCTCCTTGGGGACCAGGGGCAGGAACACCCTTGCTGGAGCCTCAGGTCCTCAGGTGGAACTGGGCGGAGTCATTGCCCTGGCTGAGCAATGGAACCGGGCACCCCATGGCCACGATAATAGACGGAATCTGGGGGCATAGAGTATTCCAGGTCTCTCTCATTCACCCTCCCCCCCCTCCCCCTCCCCCCTGGCCCCACCGCCCCCTCCACCCAGGGCCTGGGACCCCACTGCCTGGATGACTCCGACAAATAGTGTGTTTTGTTGTCTCCAGCCTGCTGCTGCAGTGCTGGGGCTGACCACCAGGGTGACGGCCTGTGCCCACTGGGCTCGCTGGAGTAACTGGGGCAGGGAAGGGGTCAGTCATTCTGGGCGTGGCCCTGCCTCTGAACACCTGGTACCTTTAATTATTAGCCTCTATCTCCTTGATGATGTGAGCAGCTCAGAGGCGGGAGATTTATTCAGTTACTGTGAAAAAAACCCTCACAAAATTACTTATTTGTGGGAATATCAGAACATTCTTTATAGATTGCTTTTACTTCACAATATGGCCTCAAATATTTTTGCATCTGGTACTGTTTATAAAGTCGCCCCTCTTTTGTCTCACTCCAGCGTGAAAATAAGTTGTCCCGCTGAAGCCGGTTTGGCTCAGTGGATAGAGCGTCAGCCTGGGGACTGAAAGGTCCCAAGTTCGATTCCGGTCAAGGGCATGTACCTTGGTTGTGGGCACATCCCCAGGGGAAGTGTGCAGGAGGCAGCTGATCGGTGTTTCTCTCATCGATGTTTCTAACTCTCCTTTTCCCTTCCTCTCTGTAAAAAAAAAAAATAAAAAAAAATCAATAAAATATATTTTAAAAAAAGAAAATAAGTTGTCCCTGAACCTGGATGAGACTTGCAGGGTGGGGACCATGCAGGCAGACACACTGCAAAAGCTGGTAAAGTACCCGGTGTCTGTCCTCCAGAGCAGACTACTGTGTCCTGCCTCCCGGTCTATCTCCTGAAACTTCTCCAGCACCCAACAGGTCACACCTGCTGTGGAAAAGGTGGGTGCTTCTCCCCCACTACAGCACCTAGCTGAGTGTCTCGAGAATGTCACTTCATCTCTCTGAGCCTCACTTTGTGTGGAAACCGAGGTACTGTGAGGACCAAACTCAGAGGGCTATTGTCAGGGACTGAGTGGGATAAGCCATGGAGAGCGCTGACCCTGTGCCTGGTCCTGTGGAAAGGGCTGCTAAGGACTGTGGTTTTATTTATGATTTTTCTCTTTCCCATGAAGCTCTCTGCCTCAAGCCTTCCTTATTTTGTGGCCTGGGACAAGCTGCTTCACATTTGTAAAGGAGGTGTCACATTCTATCTGGGCGGTCCCCTGTGCTGGTGTAGCCAGAGCAAGGACTCTTAGGGACTTGCTGAGGGGCCTCAGATACACTCAGATATCTGAGAAGATTGATTCCATTAATGCCAGGTACACTCAGATATCTGAGAAGATTAATTCCATTAATGCCGGGAACAGAAACCTAACATTGTCACTGGAGATAAAATATAAAAAGAGCTAGCCGAGCTTGATGGATCTGAATGGTCGGAGCTATTAACTCATTGTCTAGTTGAGATAGTGGTGCTTGAGGCAACTTTAATTTGTTAATCATATGTAAATGTAAGTTGATTTTCTGTTGTTGGAACTTCCCGCCTAAGAGATGTCTTTGTTTCAGAATCTCAATAAAAGGAATGGTAAAAGGCCAGGGAGTGGTTAGTCATCCCACTAGAGCAGTGTTTTTCAACCTTTTTTGGGCAAAGGCACACTTGTTTCATGAAAAAAATCACGAGGCACACCACCATTAGAAAATGTTAAAAAAATTTAACTCTGTGCCTATATTGACTATATATATAAAGTAATTCTCTTGAATAGGAATCAAATAAACACAAAGAAAGTATTCTATAATTACTTTATTATGAAATATTAAGTAAACAAAATAGTGAAAAATTATAAAATTCTTGTCTTGTCTGCACCTACGGCACACCAGGCAACATCTCGCGGCACAGGAACAGCGGTTGAAAAACGCTGCACTAGAGGTAGACTTCCTGCCTGGCCCCCATTTTCCCAAATTAACTCTTTTCCAGTTTCTTTCTTCATTTTAGTGTGCGGCCTTCTCCAGAAACTGGACCCTGAGTGGGCCCTGAACCATGCGGGTCGTGTTTAGGGATCCCACACATTAACAATAAATCTAGTAAGTGCCTACTCTGTGCAGACTTTTTTCTAGACATTTGGCATAGCTCAATGAATGGAGCAGACTAAAATCCCTACCCTCCCTTGCTTCCACTCCAGTTGGGGCATCAGCCAGTGTCACTGGACATCACAGCAGGTAGAGGACATGGGATGTTCAATGTGACACCTTGCTGGCCTTCTCTAGATATGGATTCCTCGGCCCTAATCGTCAGAAGGATGACAGACCCCAGGAACAAACTAAAGGAGTGAGTTTTGGGTCAAGAGAGAGGGCTCCTGTCTCCATGGAGGGGGACATTGGGGCTGAAGCCAGTGGGGGGCAGCCTCTGGAGGGTGTGGACCTCACTGGCCTAAACCAGTTTCTGACTGACATGCAGCTCAGCATGCCCAGCCTAGACCTGGAGCACCGTGCCTCCTTTCTTTTGACCCTGCTGGGTGACCAGGAGCCCACTGAGGCAGAGCCGTAGGGTGAGGTGGAAAGGTGAGCATAGGGGAAGGGTTGATGTTGGGGCTACTCAGGGAGAGCTACCAGAGGTTGGTGTAGGGACAGGAGCAGAGTGGCCTCAGATCACCCATTAGGAGGACTCAGCCTGGGAAGACGTCCTTTTCTGGAAAATCCTGGGATATGTTCTGTCTTTGGAGAGGCATGCAGGTGACCTCTCCTCCTCTTGCAGCTCCAGCACCATCTCCAGAGTGGCTTTGGCTCCAGCATCAGTTCCTGTAGCATCTCCAGAGCCAGATCCAGCTGTATAACTACAGGACCCAAGCCCGCATAGAGCTGGAGGCACTATTGTCATTAGATTCAATGCCGCCTCCAGTGGCAGAGCCGAGTGTATGACCAATTCTAACAGCAATTTCAGAGCTAGAGACTGCTCCAGAAGCAGCCCAGAGCGGCCTGTCTTCCCACATGAGGAACAGGAGCTGTACCTGTTCACCTCCCTCCACGCCAGCTCCTGAGCTATACCTGGCACCACGGCTGACCTCCTCTCCCCTCTGGTGGTACCATTTTTTTTTTTTTTCATTTTTCTTTTCAAATTCTTAAAAAAACCCATCTTGTTAAAATTTAGATTTAGGATTATGTAACCTTTTAGTCATTTTAAACTGCAATTTAGAGGCATTAAGTACTTCCCTATGCTGTGCAGCCAGCCCCACTATCTGTTTTCATCTCCCGGAGAGGAAAGCCCACACCCAGTGATCACTGCCTTCTCTTAGCCCCCAGCAACAGCTAACCTGTTTTGCCTGTTTCTTTACCTAGTCTGGATTATCATACAATGTGGCCTTTTAAGTATGCCCACATATTTTAAGGACTCATTTTGCTTTTCTTAAAATTCAAAATAGCACTTTTTATTTAAAAGAGAAATCCCAGATTAAAAAAAAAAAAAGATTATATGTGAAAACTGAAGCCTTTATATATACTTAGAGGCCCGGTGCATGAAATTCATGCACAGGCACTTGGGCTGTGCCCTCTCGTAGTCCGGGAGCCCTGGGAGGATGGCCTTAGCACTGCCACAGAGGCAGGAGAAGCTCCCACCACTGCTGCTGTGCTCGCCAGCTTTGGTGGCCATCTGGAACAAAAAGAACATCCCGAGTGGAAAGACAAATGGAAACTCTCAGAAATCAGTTTTAAAGAGGTCCAGAAAAGAAACATGCAGTGCAAACAAGCAGGGCACATGGCCCATGTTCCAGAATGCCCACCTCCCTGCTGAGGACACACACTGCTAGATAGCATGTCACCATCACTAGCAGGTTTTATGTCAGGTGATAACCAACTTTGGGGACAATGTGAGGAAGCAGAGGCCCCACCAGATCCCCTGGAGAGAACTGTGAAAGGACAGTTATCTCTGGGAGAGAGTATAAAGTCCCGCAGGTACAAAGGTGCAATCTTTATCTAGCAGTGCTGAACCTAGGAATGTATCCAGAAGAAATGCCTGCAGAATACTACCAAGTTATATTTCATAAGGCTACCCATTACAGTCTACACAGACTATTCATTGTGGGGCTGTTGCCCTGGTCTTGGCCACATCCATGCCCGTCTTTCTTGCCCCATAACCTAGCTTTTGAGCAGAACAGTGGGTCTGCTATCCGGGACAGATGGGGGAAATGGCCTGGCTGCCTGCCTGCTCTCTCTTCTTCCAGGCACAAACCCCTTCCTCTCAGGAAAGCACATCAAGGTTGAGCATCAGGGATGACCTTGAACATGTCTAAGGGTTGGTAGTCTAGGGCATGTCAAGCTAACCCCTTCCAAAATGAAAGATACATTGCTGCACCAGGCCCCTCCTTCCACCAGAAAAGGCATAACCTTAGTGGCCTCTCAATTTTGAAGTGTTAATGAGAAAACAAAAAAAAACCAACATTGAAACATGTAAAGAATTTTTGTGAGTTTTTTTTTTTTTTAATATATTTTATTGATTTTCCACAGAGAGGAAGGAAGAAGGATAGAGAGCTAGAAATGTCCATGAGAGAGAAACATCGACCAGCTGCTCCTCCACACCTCCTGCTGGGGATGTACCCGCAACCAATGTACATGCCCTTGACCGGAATTGAACCTGGGACCTTTCAGTCCGCTCTATCCACTGAGGCAAACCGGTTTTGGTGAATTTTTGTGAGTTTATTTGAGCCAAACTGTCGACATATGTCGGGAAGCAGAACCTCAAGAAATTGAGATAATGCTCTGAAGAATTACATTTGTCTTTATATATTGCGGGTTATATTTGTATTTATACATTGCAATCAAAGGAGGGACATAGGTGGGTTACATGAAATTCACTGGAGATGGATTAAGGAGGTGGGATAAAGCAAAGCGGTGGGAAACCCCTGGCATTGGATAAAAAGTAGAATGATGGACACATACTTAGGTGGGTACAGGAACAATTAACATGATAATGGAGTAATTTGAGGCATTTGCCCTGTGCCCCGGGGGCTCTGGAAAAAAAAAAAAAGGAAATTACAAGTTACCCAGGCATCTCACAGATATGTTATCTTAGAGGCAAAAAGACAAATGGGCTCATGAAAGATCTAAGTTGATCTTTGTCAGAAAAAATATTAGCCTAGGACATGATTATCCACTATAACCTGTTTGAAGTTAAAATATTAATTTTCAGACCATCTTTTGTGGTTATTTTAGGTCTCTGAGTTTGCAAGACTGCCACACAGGCCTCCCCTGAGCTTATCAGGTTAGCATATGGCTCCTTTCGTCCACACAAGGCAACATAATTCTCATTTTGGTATGTCACTCTAGCCCAGTGGTCAGCAAATCGCGGCTCGGGAGCCACATGTGGCTCTTTGGCCCCTTGAGTGTGGCTCTTCTACAAAATACCATGTGCGGGCGAACATGTACAGTGCGACTGAAAATTTGTGGCCCATCCATAGAAGTCGGTACCATTACTCATCTCTAAAATGGGGTGGACTCACCAATCTCATAGGGTTCTTTAATAGCAGTAATTACTCCAAATTCTTACTCTGCTCTCATTTTGGGGTCACCTCCTCCCAGGATTCCCTCTTGCCCCATTACATCAGTCAGGGACAGACAGGAACTCGTCCTGGGCTCCTGCCAGAGGAAATAGGGAGGGGGCAAAAAGGAGGAGGGGGAAGGGCAGCCTGAATTTCTCCCTGCCCGGACTCAGTGTCTACTGCCTCCTCTAGGACTCCTGTCCTAGTCATGCTCAGAACTGGCCCCTCAGGAAGTGCCTGGGAACAAGGACAGTGGGACAGGGGCTGTTCCACAACTCTCATGTCCCCAGGCCTTTGGCCCAACTGGCTGGAGTGGGGTAATGCAATGCAGTGTGATTCCTGAGGTTGTAGGTTCTCAGAGCAGTGGCCACTGAGGTCCAGTGGTACTGGCCAGGCTGGAGACCATTGGTATATTGTGCATATCATGAGGTGGCATTTCACAAGACCTTGTGTGTGCCCCCCCATGGACATGAGGCTGGACGCTCTGCTCAAGTCTACATGTAAAGGAAAGCCACAATGTGCCCTGTCACTCTCACTCAGGGGCCAGGTCCACTTTGAGCTGGGCTCATGTGGTTCCCTGTCCAGTCCTCATGGGATAATCATGAAACTGGGACCAGGAGAGGTAAGAATTTGTCCAGAGTGAGAGGTGGGTGTCCCTATGGGAAGAGAGGGTTCGGACCTTCTAGTCCTGGGATTAATCCTCTCATGAGGTTGCTTTGGCTATGAGGATACCTAAGATCCCAGGGGGCCCTGCCCATTCTTCCCATGTGAGGCTGATTCTCCTGGCTATTCACACACATGCACACACCCACAGACAAACACACACTCCATTTTAACTACCCATCTATATGCTTAGTATGCCTAGTAATACATAGTGTAGTACTTCAACCTTGGGAACCACATGTGGACTTCAATTTGGATCTCCTGCCATCTAATGGTCATTTCTCAAAATGCAGACAAAGCTGTATTAGGGGAAACGTTTGAAACTATTCATGCAACCCAGGTATGTGAATCCTGCTTCAAATTTAGATTTTTGGAGTGGATGAGAAACTTAAAAGAGTTACCTGTGGAATTGAGCAATGAGGTAGAAGACATAAAAACATTTTGAATATTGTGAAGCTATCTTTACAATATACAAATAATTTTTTGAATTTCCAAAAATAGTTCATAAATTGAAGCAATGTGAAAAAAATAGTTTTGTATTTCTTTGAGAAGTTAAAAAAAATGTAGGGCTAATTGTTTTTATAGACATCATTTTAAAATAATTACTTTATTGTTGATTATTTATAGATGGATACAGAGAAAATTGGCAAATTGTAAACTAATACCTATATTTAGAATTTGCTTCACCTAAGCTTGGAAAATATTTTGTGACTATAGAAATGGATTTATTTATTTAGAAAATACAATTGAGGAAAATAATTGTATGATTAAAAATAGTTACTTATTAGTTGAAAATAATCCTTCTAATATATATAGTACAGCGTTTTTCAACCGCTGTTCCGCGGGAGATGTTGCCTGGTGTGCCGTAGGTGCAGACAAGACAAGACAAGAATTTTATAATTTTTCACTATTTTGTTTACTTAATATTTCATAATAAAGTAATTATAAAATACTTTGTGTTTATTTGATTCCTATTCGAGAGAATTACTTTATATATAGTCAATATAGGCACAGAGTTAAATTTTTTAACATTTTCTAATGGTGGTGTGCCTCGTGACTTTTTTCATGAAACAAGTGTGCCTTTGCCCAAAAAAGGTTGAAAAACACTGGTGTAGTATTTCAAGCTAGGAACCAAACATGTGGATTTTAATTTAGTGCTTCTGCCCTCTAATGGCCATTTCTCAAAATGCAGACAAAGCTGTATTTTAAGGGAAAACATTTGAAACTATTAATACAACTTGGGTGTGTGTTTCCCACTTCAAATTTTGGAGATTTGAGAAACCTGAGAAATTTTCTCAATCAGTTTCCTCATTTTAACTTTGCAACATAAGCACTAAAACTCAAGTACCTACTCTCTTGAGATTCCAGATGTAAAATTGAATTCTGGCATCTCTTGACCATTTGACTAATAAATTATACAAAGCTACAGTAATTTTCTGTAAAATTTTTACATAGGTAGTATAATTTTAGATCTTATAACTACTGCACAAAGGGTAATTTCAAATAAATAAATAAATGAATGAATGTAACACTTTTAAATGTACTGTTTCCTACTACTAAGTCCTTTATATACCGTATTTTTTCCCCTCTCATAACCACCAGATACATATTGTGAAGTATATACAGTTTTATTCAGATTTCATGAAGAAATAAAGTAATACTAAGGGACTAATAAAACTTAGGAAGTGGTATACTCAGGTTTGAAACACTGAGTTTGGTGCCTTAACATTCTTCCTTCTTTTAAAAATGTATCTAGCTGAAACCGGTTTGGCTCAGTGGATAGAGCGTCAGCCTGCAGACTGGAGGGTCCCAGGTTGGATTCCAATCAAGGGCACTTACCTTGGTTGCAAGCACATCCCTGGTTGGGGGTGTGCAGGAGGCAGCTGATCTATGCTTCTCTCTCTTCGATGTTTCTATCTATCTTTCCCTTCCTCTCTGTAAAAAATCAATAAAATATATTAAAAAATAAAAAATAAAAAAATAAAAATGTATCTAGTTAATTCAGTTTGAATTAATACTTCAGTGTTTTAACATATTAGTTTAAGCAACATTTATATATCTTTTTTTTATGTTAATGTATACCAGTTTCAAAGATCTAGGTCACATGTGTCAAACACAAGGCCCGCGGGCCAAATCCGTCCCGCCAGGCCTTGCAATGTGGCCCGCACAGCGCTGTCATCACTGCACTCCGCTGCATTTCCATCACAATGACACTTTATGACTGTTCAGTAAACCATTCGGCCTGCGATTTAGGCTGGATTTTAGATTTTGGCCCCTTCTCTGATTGAGTTCGACACCCCTAATCTAGGTTCTTCTCTAAATTTTAAGATCCAGGCCCCATTTTAGAGAAGGTGAGTTTTTAGGAAATCTAAAAAAGTTTTGTTTTTTTTGGTTTTTCATTTTTCAACTGAAGAATTTACATACAGAAACTAGAGCTTAGTGTCCTCTTTATGATAGACAGCAAACAGATGCTTGTGGGCCAAGAAAAAATTTACCCTGGAGAAGTTACATTGTACAGAATTGAGCATGATTTCAGATAAAAGGATTGGCTTCAAAAAGATTTTTCATTGATACACTTTTAGAGTCTTTTGTCTACAATAGCTTCATTAAAAAAAAACAAAAACCTTTGGGCATTTCTTTGATAGCCAGTTCCAAATCAGTTATTTCTGGATTAAACTAGTAGTTATCTACAGACAGGTCACCCTGGTAATTCTAGCCAATAATGACTTTTCATCCTTTGAATTTCTATGACATTTTTGTTTAATTGGCTTACACAGTAGTAAATTCATACATAAGAACAATGGGACAAGCACTAAGAAGAAAAGAAAAGAATCACCCGGTAAGAGGTAAGCACAAAAAACTCATACGTAACAAGCAAAGGTTAGCTACTTGTAAAATAATCAGAGATGTATCTGGAAAGGTGTGACTATTCACAGGTTCAAATGACTGAATTTCTTATAATAATATATATACACACACAGGTAGATAGAGAACCTAGAGTGAAATCTCAGGAAGGCAGATCAGAAACTCAGCCATAAATAGGAAAGTTCAAATCTAAAGCCAGTTTTACTTTCTCCTGTGTAGAAATTTTTTAATATTCAAAAAACCGTTTTTATGTTAATTAAATAATTAAAACCCAATTGTTCTGAATATTAATTCAAGCAATTCTCACCCTCACCCCCAGGAGACGGGTATTCTTGTTAATCACACATTCATGATGAATAAACTGAAACAGACAAGTTCAGCAATTCTCAGGATTCTAAGTGATGGAGCAGGAGTCTTTCCTGGGTTCCAGGGTCAGTACACATAAACACCCCCCTCTATGCTGCTTCGTTTAAGATGGTGTACCTTTGTGATGGTTATTTTTTGTGTCAATGTAGCTGGTCCGAATATTTGGTCAAACATTATTTGGATGTTTCTGGCTAAGGTTAACATATTAATTGGTAGAGTAAAGCAGACTGCCCTCTCTAATGTGGACAGGTATCATCCAACCATTTGAAGGCCTGAATACAAAAAATTAGCTGACTTTCCCTAGTAAGAAGATATTCCTTCTGCCTGATGGCTTTTGAAGGGGGACATTGGTCTTTTTCTGACTTGGACTCAGCCTAGAATTTACACCATTAGCTTTCCTAATTCTCAGTCCTTTGGACTCAGAATGACACCACTGGCTCTCTTGAATCCAGCTTGAGTGTTAATTTTGGGGCTTCTCAGCCTCCATAATTGTGAGCCTATTTCTTATAATTAACACACACACACACACACACACACACACACATAAAGAACCTAGACTAATACAGATTTTTGCCTTGAGAATGGGGCAATTACACATGACATCCTCATGTGCTGTGAGCTCACAAGAATGGGGATATGATATCTTTCCACTATATATCCAGAACTTATTTTAATTCCTGCTGCAGTACACTCCCCAGGTTAAGCATATTTACTGGGGAGAAGTGTCCAGATAGCAAGCATTTGCCTTTATTCTTTTTATATAGCACTGTCAGGGAAAGAAGGGGTCAGATCCTGGGGAAGAGGAAAGTATTATTTTATGCATGTATCAGGTACTCAGTGTGTACATAGTATTTAGTATGAAACAGATCTTGTGCTAGGTGAAAGAATACAGAGATAAAATACACAATTCCTGCTCTCGTGGACCTCTCCCTTCTTAGGATGACAAGTAAAATCAATATGGATAGAACCAATTAATCTTAAAAGGGTAGGCACCTAATAAATGGAGCTTCAAAAGACATGACACCAAAGCTGATAGAGCTAAGCTAAAGGGCAAATAGAACCATAATCATAATCTCAATATGCTGGTCAGTAACTGATAACAGATAGCAGGTAGCAAATCAGTAAGGAAAAGGAACACCTGAACAACTTTCTCCACCAAGAGGGCAATACCGGCCGGTACAGAGCGCTGAAACCAAACAAAGCTGCATCTTCTTTTCAGGAGCACCGGGAACACTCACCAAGACGGACCGTGTACTGGGCCGTAAAATGAGTTTGGATTTGCTTAAAACGATTGGAACCCAACAACATTTGCATCCTCTCTGGCCGCAAAGCGACAAACCCTCCACTCCGAGTGCAGGCGGTTAAGAACTCAGAATGGACAAGGTCGCCTTCAGCGGCAACGGGAAGGAAGGCGTGCAATTACAAGGACCTGAGCGCCATGACGTCAAACAGCGCGACGGCAGAGAAAGATTGTGAGCTACGCGGAAGAGGAACACAGATAGGTCTCGACCCTTAGTAGTGACGTATGAGGAGAGGCGTGTCAGCCGGGAGGCGTCCCGTGGTTTCTGGCGCGGGTAACTGGATGGGTTATTCGGGTTCCCAATAATATAAACAAAACACAGAGACCGAAACGAGAAGCATCGCTCTAACTCGTCTTCCCTCTCAAGCCGCCCAGTTACCAAACACTTTGGCGGGGGCTCCACCGACCAAAACAGCCGTAGAAAGCACGACGGCGTCAGGAGGAAAGGAAATCGGTTTTACGGCAAGCCGTAAAGTAGGGTCGACGGTGAGCTGTAAAGCACGTTCTTTTCCGGTTCACGACAGCAGCCGCGACCGTCTCTGCCGGCCTTCCTCCGGTAAGCGCCTCTGCCGATCCTCGTGAATTCTGTTCTTTCCTCTTTCGGGCCCTTTCCTACTGTCGCCCCCGCCACCTTGGATCATGTTCAAGAAATTTGACGAGAAAGAAAACGTGTCCAACTGCATCCAGTTGAAAACGTCAGTTATTAAGGGTATTAAGAACCAGTTGATAGAACAGTTTCCAGGCATTGAACCATGGCTTAATCAAATCATGCCTAAGAAAGATCCGGTTAAAATAGTGCGGTGCCACGAACATATAGAAATCCTTACCGTAAACGGAGAGTTACTATTTTTCCGACAAAGGGAAGGGCCTTTTTATCCAACGCTAAGGCTACTACACAAATACCCATTTATCCTGCCACGACAGCAAGTTGATAAAGGAGCCATCAAATTTGTGCTCAGTGGAGCAAATATCATGTGTCCAGGCCTAACCTCTCCTGGAGCCAAGCTTTACCCTGCTGCAGTGGATACGGTGGTTGCAATCATGGCAGAAGGAAAACAGCATGCCCTGTGTGTTGGAGTTATGAAGATGTCTGCGGAAGATATTGAGAAAGTGAACAAAGGGATTGGCATTGAGAATATCCATTATTTAAATGATGGGCTGTGGCATATGAAGACGTATAAATGAGCCCCAGAAGGAAAACACTTGAGATAAATATGGACATTTACTGTGTCTGTGTTTGTGTCTGTGTGTGACAGCATGAAGAGAATACTTCTATGGTTATGCTGAGTGTATTCAGCAGATGCTACAAAAAAGTAAAGATTTGGAAAGAGTTCATGCCTGTATCTGTGTCATTGTGTGCCTGTTTGTGTGAGTATGTATGCCTGTGAATATGTCTGCATATGAGAGTGTGCATGTGTGCGCGCACGTGCGTGTTTGCAGAGGGGTAGTTAGATTTGCTCTCTTGTCTATTCAGGCTGATATATTACCTCTTGCAGAAAAATAGGTTCCTATGTTAAGAGATACAGTTGGTAGACAGACCCAAAAGTGTGAGTGAAGAATTGGGAAGAAGAAAATGACTGGAGAAGGACCCTGAACAACTCTACCAATATGAATATTTAAGAGATAAGCAGAAGATGGGAGGCCTAAACAATTTTACTGGAAGCAGAAAATCCAGTAAAAAGTATACAGATGGCATCATTGGTTATCCACCCAACAAACATTGTCGTCGTCCCCCCCCCTTCCTGGCAGAACTTTGGCATCCCTTTTCTACATGAACCGGGTAAATGCTGATTATTCTGGGTCCTCATGATGGTCTGTTTCTTAGTGAAACTGGTTAATTTATAGGTAGACATGGGTCCTATGGACAAATAGAATTTTCTCTATTTAGGAACCCTTAAAGAATATGGGTATCTTTTCTTCCTTGTCTTTGAACCAAGGAGTATGTAATCTGTATTATTAGAGGCCATGAAAAGATGTCTGGGAAAATTTTTTAGACTTTTAAAAAAGATATTTATTGTTGAAAGTATTACATATGCCCCTCATTTTCCCCATTGACACCTTCCAGCCTGCCCCTACCCCCCCCACCCCCCTCACCCCTGGCCTTCACTGTTGCCTGTGCCCATGGATTATGCATATATGCATACAAATTCTTTGGTTAATCTCTTCCCACCCACCTTTGCCTTCCCCCTGAGATCCCACAGTCTGAGAAAGATTCATGGGGAGAAACTTCCTCTGAATAGACGTTGACATGTACAATTTTGCTCTTGTAACACACACACAACCTTGATTTCCAACATGTCCAACCATGGTTAAATTAAAAGTGAAAAGGAACAGTGTCCTTGATTTATGTACGGGTGATTAACAGCTATGGAGATAACATATATTGGGCATCTTGTTAAGGAGTGTGGGTAGATTATGTGAGATAATAAAATTCCCTTATAATTCCCTTACTCCCTTTTCAATTGAGGTTTCTGAAATTGAAAGCCAAAAGTATTCCAGTTTTTATAGAATGACATCGACACCCAACTGAAAAATTAAAGGAGGATAAAATAGGTCAAGTGAAAGATCATCAGTGACTTTTGTATGAGCTGTTTTGGTGTAATTCTATTAATGCAAGATAAATTGCAGTAGACTTAGGGGTGAATGGAAAGTTAGAAGCTAGGATGCAGAAGTTTAGACTTCATGTTACTCCCTACAGAAGTTTGGTTGTGAATTAAAATAAATTGATATAGAGGAAGGTTATAATTAAGATATTTTGTTTTGGAGTTTAGGTTATTTTGCTGCTGTTATTGTTTTCTTTTTTTCTTTTTTGTTACATGTTTGTTAATGAGATTTCTCAGTATGTTTATATGCTGAGGGGAAAGATTCACTAAGAGAGGGAATACTCGCCCTGGCCATTGTGGCTCAGTTTGTTGCAGCAGCATCTTGTACACTGAAATGTCGCAAATTCTATTCCCTTTCAGGGCATATACCTAGGTTGTGGGTTATGTCTCCAGATGAGGTGCATGCTGGAGGAAAACAATCAGTGCTTCCATTGTTTCTTCTCTTCTTCCCTCTCTTCCTTCCTCCCTCCCTACTCCCTCCTTCCTTTTTCCTTCCCTCCCTCTTTCCTCCCTCCCTCTATCCCTTCCCTCTTTCCTTCCCTCCTTCCTTCCTTTTTTCCTCCCTCCCCTCCCTTCTCTCCCCTCTCCTTTCGTTTCTCCAGTCTAGCCTCTCACCTCTCTCTCCCTCCCCTTCCCCTGTCTCTAAAAGAGGTGGAAGGACAGCCTTTTACCCTTATGTGGATTATCTTTTTTTCTCCATAGTGTTGTAACAATTCTTAAGCCCTTTTCTGAAGAACACTTTTTTCCTCAGAGGATTAGGGCTTTAGCCCCTATTAATTCTTCACCTCAGTCAACTCTATTTAGTCTGGGCATTGGTGGATACCCATGGAGGCCCTTTAAACTTCTCATAACAGTGTTCTGGAGCATCAGTGACTCTGACAGTCAAGGTAAGCAACCCTACAATTCCGATACTTTATCCTAACCAATTATCTCCATCAAAAAATTGAAAGAGGAACTCCGTGGATCTATTCTAAGCTTTCTTTCAGGTCTGTGCACACAACCCTATCTTCGATTCCTTCCTGGTTCACATTGACCCTAGCTAAAGAGTAATATGACTGTGACTACCGAGTCACAGGATCTCCAATGCTGAATTTGGTACTATTCCCATGGAGGGCTTTGGAGAGTTTGTTTATTGAGAGGAACAGGCAGCATTGATTCATATTGAGAAGGCTCAGTCTTCTCTGCAGGTTCCTAATGCCCATTCCCCTCAACTCCTGCCTCAGCTGCTTTAGAACAAAGCTCAGGGAACTAGACCAGTACAATGGGACAGGAATGAAGATGACCAGCCATCCAATTTGCTGGATTGAGGTGGTTCCTGGAATCCTGAACTTCTAGTGGAAAAATCAGGAAAGTCCCTCAGGAAAGTCTGGGCATGCAGGTATGAGCAGCTCACTCTAGGACAGTGGTTCTCAACCTTTTTGATGCTATGACCTTTTAATACAGTTCCTCATGTGGTGACCCCCAACCATAAAATTATTTTCGTTGCTACTTCATAACTGTAATTTTGCTACTGTTAGTGAATTGTAATGTCAATATCCATGTTTTCCAATGGTCTTAGGCTCTACAGCAGCGACCCACAGTTGAGAACTGCTAGCAGGATTGCCGAAGACCATCGGAAAACACAGATACTTATGTTATGATTCATAACAGTAGCAACAAAAATAATCTTATGGTTGGGGGTCACCACAACATGAGGAACTGTATGAAAGGGTCCACTCCTCTAGGAGGAGCTTAAACTTGACTGCTGCTGTGCAGAGGCCTGATTCACCCTTCTACTTTGTCCTATGGGGAGAGCAGTACTGGGTGTAGGGTTGGCAAAGAGTTTTAAGGGCAAAAGCAAAGCCCCTGAGTCCATATGCTTGGGAAGGGGTGTCAAATGAAAAAAACGTCCCTGGTTGCTCCAACCATTCACAGGCTAGCTTCTGCCACCTTTGAGTAGCAATGTAGGCATCAGAGCCTCCTGTGGCTATTACAGCCCCTAATGCGCAGGTGTGAAATACTTGGTCTGTGTTACCGTGATGGGAAGAAACACCTGAATTCAACTGATTGGGTTTGAGAAAAATCCACAGAGAAAGAAAAAGTGGTAAACTATCAGCTCACTGAGTAAGAAATACATAACTAAAGTAATTAAATTTATAGTTAAAATTCTTCAAAGAAAACTCCAGACTTAGAAAGTTTCACTGGTGAATTCTACCAAATATTTAAGGAAGAAATAAATATTTTACAGAATTTCTTCTATAATAAAGAAGTTTTTAGGACACTTCCTAGTTCATTTTATGAGGAGAGCATTACCCAAACACCACAACCAAAGTCATCACAAGAAAATAAGAGGACAGAGCAATAGCCTTCGTGATTGTAAACATAAATATCCTTAAAAAATATTGGCCAAGTGAGTTCAGCAATATGTAAAAATGGTAAATTGTGGGTTTTATTCTGGAAATGGAAGACTGGTTCAGTAGTCAAAAATCAATCGTATAATAAGCCATTTGTAAGGAAAGGATATGGACATTTCATTAGATGCAGAAAAAAAATTTGGTACAGTTCAATATTCATGCAATAAAAGAAGTCTTCCTCAACCTGATGAAATAGTCTTCCTCAACCTGATGAAATAGATGTATAAAATACCTACAGCTAACTTTTATTAGTGAAAGACTGAATGCTTTCTTCCTAAAATTGGAGCAAGACAGCAAGGCCCCCAATAACTACTTTTATTAGTCACTGTAGGTAGTACAATAATGGGAGAAGAAATAAATAAATACCGCTTGAAAAAAAATACTGTCTTTATTCACAGACAACTTAATTGTCTAAGTTGAAAAACCCGAAAGAATTTATAAGGAAAGCTATTAAAATAGTAAGTGAAATTAGCAGATCAATATTTTAAAATCAAGTGCACGTCTGTATGCTAGCAATGAGCAATTGAAAATTGAAATTGGTATATAGACCGTTTTCAATAGTATCAAAACACTTTAAATTATTATGGATTAGTCTAACAGAATATATGCATAATCTGTATGTGGACACCACAAAAACATGTATGAGAGAAGCGCCAATTAAAGGAGACCTTAATGAACATAGTAGTGTGTTCTTTTCATGAATTGGACAACTCAATAATGTGATAATGTCAATTCTCTAAAAATTAATGCATAGATTTTTAAAATATAGCTTGAATAAATGTCACACTGGATTTTAAAATAAAAAGTGACAAACTATTTCCACAATTTTTATGGCAACTCAAACAGAATAGCCCAAGCCATTTTTATTATTTATTTATTTATTTATTTAAAAATATATTTTATTGATTTTTTACAGAGAGGAAGGGAGAGAGATAGTTAGAAACATCGATGAGAGAGTGTCATCGATCAGCTGCCTCTTGCACACCCCCTACTGGGGATATTCCCCCAACCAAGGTACATGCCCTTGACCAGAATTGAATCCCGGACCCTTCAATTCCCAAGCCAACGCTCTATCCATTGAGTCAAACCGGTTTCGGCAGCCCAAGCCATTTTTAAAAAGGAGAAGAAATTGGTAGGTTCCCACTACCTACTTCCAAGGCTTATTACAAAGCTAAGGTAAACATGTCAGTGCGGTATTAGCAAAAGAATGGATACATGAATCAAAGACCAGAGAAAAGTCCAGAGATAGAGCCACTAAATGTTGTTGATTGATTTTCTACAAAGTTGTAAAGGTAATTCAGTTGAGGAAAAACAGTTTTTTCAACAAATGGTCCAGGGGACTTCCTTATGTAAAAATACTGAACTTAAAAACAAAACAAAAAAACACTGTACTTTGCAATGTAGACAAAAATTAACTCAAAATGGATTATTAACCTAAATCTTAAAATGCATCAAATTTCTAGAAGTAAACATAGGAGAAACACTTTGTGTCTTTGAGTTCAGAAAAGATTTCTTAGGCTTAACACCAAAAGCACTACTCTTAAATAAATAAATGAATAAATAATTTAAATAAAGGTGATGGAAAAAATAAAATAATTTTAAAAAATAAAAATGGAAAAACTGAGTTTTGAAAGGCACTATTATTATAAAATGAAAAGTAATCAACTAAAAAAATAACAGCAAAACATTAAATAATTAATTATTAGCATTCAGAATACATAACAAACTCAAAATTCAATAGTGAAGAAGCAGGAACAATTGAAAAAAGAATGGCTGAAAGTTTTGAAAACTCACTTCACCAAATAGGATATTTAAATAGCAAATAAGCACATAAATAGATGCTCAACAACTCTAATCATTAGAGAAATTCAAATTAGACCACAGTGAGATACCCCTGCATATTTGTTAGAATGAATAGCAACGAAAAAGACTGGCCACATAAAGTGTTGGCAAAACCGCTGAGCAGATGGAACTCTCACCTTTGGCTGGTAAGAATGCAAATAGTATGGCCACTTTGGAAAAAAAGTTTGTAGTGGACATCTTTGTAATCCTCCCGCCCCCAACTATAAGCACATAAAGTGACATTGCTCCCATTGTAATCTATTTACCCTCTGTCAATCTTTATTTTGCTAGAAATCTTATAATGCTAAGCACATTGCTGATAATGACCAATAAGGTCTTAAAATATTACAAATTGAGCTTTTCAAATTCTGAGGATTAATGATAATGTATATTTTGGCAATTTTTTTTTTTTAACTGTGGTGCACTTTCTCATTCTTTTAAAAATCAAAGTCTACATTAATCCTAGGACTACAGTCTCCTTAGTTCATTCTCGCATGATAAACTGCAGGAAAACTTAAAAACATTTACAAAGAACATGATTGCAATTCTTGCATGCTTTTCAGCAGACCTAAATTCAGGATATAAATTATTTCCTTGAAAAATTCAGTTGGCTCAACATATTTTTGAAAGAGGAAATTCCAAGGCTTTGAAAAGCACATCTGTGTTACAGAGAAAACACTTTCTAAGCAGAACAAGTCTTTCTGACTATGCAAAATATCAAAATTTCAATTTCATGTGTTGAGATTATCTGCCTCTATAGACTTTTTCCTTCAGTCAGAATGTTTTAAAAATGTTGACAGGCAAGTCACAGCCATGTCAGAGGCTTAGCCAAATAACTATGAAAACCAAGTGCTATATTAAATTATTTTCTTAGGGCAAATAGTTCTTTTCAAAGTAAGATCTGCCATTCCCATGTGGTGAGGATTCGAGTTGAAGATGACAGGGCCTTTCCAAAGCATTTAGTATTAAATGAGAGACAAATCAGGCAACTGGAGATTAAAATATTCATTACCACAGAAGTTGTCAGGGCTGTTTTGTTGTGTGGCACAACTAAGTTGTGACTTAGTTGTTTGGAACAATGTTTTTACATATACCATGACAAACCCACAAAATTTAATATAAAAAACTATTGGAATGAAGGCTTCAAAACTTTTGAACCCTAGTGATTCTGGCCCTATCATATGCCCTTGTTTGAACCCCAATTTCATTATCCTTAAATAGAAATAAATATAATACCAACCCTACAAATACTCTTGTAGTTTTTTTAATTTATTTTTTAGCCCTAAGAAGAGGATATATTTTTATTGATTTTTTTTTAGAGAGAAAGGAAGGGAGAGAGAGATAGAAACATGAATGTGGGAGAGAAATGTCAATCAATTTCCTCCCAAACACTGGGGATCAAACCTGCAACCTAAGTAAGTGCCCTGATTGGTGAGTGAACATGAAAACTTTTTAGTGTATGGGATGATGCTCCAACCAACTGAGCCACCGAGCCAGGGCTCTTGTAATTGTTTGATGGACTATTGATAACAAGAACACATTCTTTATATTTTTAAGTGGTGATATTCTAATAATTATTAGAATATCAATAACACACCGTACTATCCCTGAGATTGTTGGGAGCTAGCAGAGTTGAGGCAAGCAACTCAGTC